AAATCTGTTTTTATGTCTGTTGCTAAATCATTATTTGTAGATATATTTGTAGCTTCTGATTCATTTTCAGTTGGTTCATCTCTGGAAATATTTAAAAAAACAAAATTACTAAGCAAAACTCTGCGAAGTTCTTTTATAATTTAATTAAAAAGGCTTTAGCCCTTGTTTCAAGGAAACAAAAATTTGTACTTTCAAATATAAGCAACTCAACTTTCAAAAGAGTCAGACTTGATAGCAATAAACTCAAAGAAAAAACCTTTAATTTTGTAGCAGAGTTAAAAACAAATGCAGAAAAGTTGATTGACAACATCAAACAACAAGAAAAAAGTGATGCACAAGAATGCAATCTTCAAGATAATAACACAAACAACAAGACAAATTAGGCAGATGAAAGCAAAACTACTGCAGAAAATAAATTTAAGAAAGAAAGCCCTGAAGCTTCTTTCTCAAACAAAAATAACAATAAAACATGTAAAGAACTTCTCACAAATATAAACAAACAAACAAATAAACAACACATTAATTCAGCACGTGATGATGTAAACACAACAGATCTTGAACCCAAAAATAGACCTAGTTCCCAGACCAGTAGACCACAATCTACTCAAAAAGAAAATCAACCTGCTGGAAACAAACAGTAGTCAGAACTTTTCTCCAAACTAAAAAAAGGAAAGGCCATATTTACAAATACTGCACCTAAACAAAAAATTCTCTCTAAAAATGAAAATGCACTCATCTTTAATATTCAAGATCTGGTAAATATCTCTACAAATGATATCATCTTAGCCCTTGCAACCAAATTAGAAGGAGATCTGCTAGCAGCAAAAATATATATGCAGAGAGGAAAACATATCTTTCTAGAAGCTGTCTTTATTAACAAAAACAAACAGAAGTTTTACGTATCAGAAAGAATAAGCATTTTTAACCAAATCTTGTTTGGTTATATTCAAATAAATCTCAAACACACTTTTCTCTCAGTAAAGCTAAGAAATATACTAATGGAAGAAAAGGAACATATTAATGAATTGGTCAAAACAGCATTCCAAGATATATGCACTATTATATCGATCAAACCACTTCTATTTGAGGAAACATCAGTATGCTCAGATTAATGAATTATTACTTTTAAAACTACAGAAGACCCTGATCTAGCTTAAAGACTCCTCAGATACATATATGTAGGTGACTATAAAGTCTTAACAGACTGGAAAGAAGCCCAAAAGTATGTTACTACTGTGAACAAACAGGACACATCAAGAAAGACTGTAAAGAACTTAAGGTCTTAATCAAATTCAGACAAAGACTGAAAGAATATAAAAAACAAAGAGAACTTAAAACCGAGAGCCAGAGCCAAGACGAACCCAAAACACAAATACAATTCAGTTTAGAAAACCCTCGTGTTTCAGAAATAGTTCTAGAAAATATTGATAAAAGCTCCACAGAAGCACAAAAAACAATCCAACTAGTAACAGAGACAACTATGACAGAAACAATCCAGACAGAAGAATTCAATCTTACAGATGCAATAGCAAAAACAAATGAGATAGAACCAACTGAAAATGAATCAGAAGCTACAAATATATCTACAAATAATGATTTAGCAACAGACATAAAAACAGATTT